GTCTCAGCTGCTGGTGATTCCAGCGTAATACCAGCGGCTCCAGCTTGGCCATCATACCTAGTAGAGACCATCAGTAATGCGATCTCATCGAGAGGAGAAAACAAAACAGCCACAATACATACCCGCCCAGCTTCACGCCATATACCACAGCGTCATGTACACCATCAATCCGGCAAATATGGTCCCGAATCTCTCCCGCGCTAACGTTCTCACCCTTCCAGCGGAAAGTATCCCCAACCCGATCCTGGAACCTCACCCACCCAGATTCATCTTGAACAACCAGATCACCAGTCCGCTGGAACAAATCTCCCTTCCGGAACACATCACGTAGAAGCTTCTCTTCTGTCGCACCCTCATTACCCAGATACTCAATCAGCGTACCACGGTCCCGAACACGACCAATTGCCTCACCCTCCTGTCCAAGCGCAGCCCTTACACAGAACCCAGTGACAGGATCCCGGTACGGCATCTCGGTATCGGTATCATACTTAACTATGAAAGTGTCGTCTTCCAAGAACCGGCGTATAGGCCCGGAAAATCCGACCTTACCAACACCCCAAGCTCCAACACCGTGGTTATCGAATTTGGCAACTCCCTCAGTTGAGCGGTAGAACTCGCGGACCTCAGGAATGTTGAAGCGCTCACGGAACTTCTCCCAGATCTCCCCGCGCAGTCCGTTACCGCTTGCCACGATGCACTTGTGGTCTTGGTCGTAGGGGGATGGCGGCGTCGCGAGAAGGTACCGGCATAACTCGCCGATGTAGAGGATGCGGGTTGCGCCTGAGTGGTGTACCTCTTTCCAGAATTTTGAGGCGGAGAATTTTCGTCCTAGGCATAACGTGCCTCCGTTGCCGATGGCGCTGCATAGGCCCGTGAAGAAGGCTGTGCCGTGGAAGAGGGGGAGAGGGGAGTATACGCGGAATGGGTGGTACTTTGAGGGATTGTTGGCGTCTGCTGATAGTGGAGTGGAGGTGATCAGGGTGAGCAGGTTGCGGATTGCGCAGGCTTTGGGCTTTCCTGTTGTTCCTGATGTGTAGATTAAAATGCAGAGGTCTTTCGGGTTGCGCTTGGCTGCTGCAAGCCCTGATGGGGAGAACTGCTGCAGAGTTTCCGATGTGATGAGCTCGATTGAGCCTGTTTCGGTACCTTGGAATGACGCCATGTTGAGTGTGAAGTGCGGTAGGTCGGTGCAGACGTGTTGAGATAGATCCGCGGTTGAGACGATTAATTTGGAGCCGGAGACATTGAGACAATGGATGAAAGTATCGTCTGTCACTATTGTCAGCGGTCAATCCGCGTGGACGGGGATTGAATGATTAACAAACCTCGTAGGTTGGTGTTGATCATTGCTGCCACAGCGCCCAATTTCGACAGAGCATACACAGTCATGACCATCTCGGGTGAGTTGGTGGTGAAAACACCCACTGTATCACCAGGGTTGATATCACGGCTCTTCAAAAGAGCAGCCATTCTGTCGGCCACTGCAAACAGGTACATTAGCAATCAGATGCCATATTTTCTTCCAATAGAGGGCGACACTCACAGTCTTTCAACTGGCTGTATGACCAGGTCTTCTGCTCAAACCAGAGCGCATCGGTAGCACCTCGTCCTTCAACCTCCACCGCCCGCTCGAGAATCTTGTAGATGGTTGTTGAGCCATCGAGCGCAGCGATGCGCTCGTTTAACCGCTTTGCAACAGCCTTATCGCTGTATATTGTTCGTAAATCAGTGGAAATAGCAAGCTTTGCATTCAGATAAGCACCGGCGGCGACCGACAAGGCGGATGCCATGGCCACAGCAGGCGCGCTGACTTCAGAGAAAATGTCCATTGCGACCGAGAAGGCTGAGGTCTTTCCAGTCAAGTGGTTCTTGTCAACCTAACCACAATACTCCAATACGTCGACAAAATGAGGGATTCTTCTGCAACGAAAGGAGTCTCTTCTATTCTATGTTTGGAAATTCCGAAGCTTTCAGAACCCGGCATGACGACAGGATATAAAGATCCCCAGGCCTCGGGGCCTCTGATGACGGAAGCTAGCCAGACTCGATCTGCCGTTCATAACAGAGTCAATATCCCGGCCCTTTACATTGGTCGTAGTTCGGAGTGGAGAGTCTACGGGAAATCCCCCATGTTCCACTTCCCGGGGAGGCTTGACTGAGCTTTCCCCGGTTTTGGTCACCAGCTATTTTAGGGCTTCTGGATTGCTCTTTAGAGATGAGAGATTATATTCCATAACAGTCTTACAGACGAGTTCTCGACTTCTGCCCTTTCCTCAATATACTCCATGATCATGCCATCGTACATGTGGGGCCATGAAACGTCTTCAATACCCCAAGTCCACCAATCACAGCCGCCCAATACAAGCCGAGGAATGCCAAAGAACGGTATCATACACCGTGTGACCCCCGAAGTCCCGGCACTTCCAGTCGGCTCAAATTGTCGACCAAAAGAGTCCTACTCGGCTCGGTGTGGAGAAGTCTGGAGAAGCCGCGGTTCTTTTTTAGCACATCGGAAAAGAGATCAGATATTAAAACGGTCCTTCTTTTTGTTTTTAGGTTCATAATTCTTGATATATTCCCTACAATGTCTTCACCACAACAACGTCTAAGCTCCGTTGCCAACCAGCTGGCAGCTCCTGGCTCGGCCCGCCAAAAGATTCTGGCCAAGAACCCAGATGATGTGGTATGTGGCTGATTTTATAGCTACAATTCCTTCATTGCAATAATTAATCAATTGGCAGGTTATCACTTATCTGGCCCGCACGCCGCTCACCAAGGCCCGCAAGGGTGGATTGAAGGATACCACCGTGGATAACCTCCTCGTCTCACTCCTCACGGTACTTTTTCCTCCACGGTTAAGGGTGGGAAAAAAAATCGCAGTAATTAATTTATCAAACAGACCGTCCGCGAGAAGTCCAACCTAGACCCCAACCTTGTAGAGGATGTCTGCGTTGGTAATGTCCTCTGCCCCGGTTCAGCATATGTCGCCCGTTCCGCCGTGCTGGCAGCAGGCTACCCCGTAACAGCAGCCGCCTCCGTCGCCAACCGCTTCTGTTCATCCGGTCTTCTAGCCGTGCAAAACATCGCCAACCAAATCATCGCCGGATCCATCGATGTCGGAGTGGCCGTTGGAGCCGAGAGCATGAGCAATAACGCCGACGGCGGCGCCCCCGAAATGTCCGAGCGCATCAAAACGCACCCGATCGCATCCCAGAACTCCCAGCCCATGGGCCAGACCTCGGAGAATGTAGCTACCCAATTCAATATCCCACGCGAGCAGCACGACAAGTTCGCTGCCAACAGCTTCCAGAAGGCGGAGCGTGCCCAGAAGGCCGGCTGGCTCGAGGACGAGATCGTCCCCGTCAAGACTCAAATTAAGGACCCCAAGACCGGCGAGGTGAAGGATATCGTCGTTGACCGTGACGATGGCATCCGCTACGGTACTACCCAGGAGTCCCTCGGCAAGATCCGCGCTGCCTTCCCCCAGTGGGCCCCTAGTGCTACCACCGGCGGTAATGCCAGTCAGATTACCGATGGTGCTGCTGCGCTGGTTCTCATGAAGCGTTCACGTGCCCAGGAGCTCGGTCAACCCATTGTTGCCAAGTTCTGTGGTGCTACCGTTTCCGGTCTGGAGCCCAGAATTATGGGTATTGGCCCATCTCTTGCCATCCCCAAGATCTTGAGCAAGTTCAATTTGAGCAAGGATGATATTGATATTTTCGAGATTAACGAGGCCTTTGCCTCAATGGTAAGTCTACCAAGTATGTAACTATGTACTTTGCGAGTCTAACATGTGTCATAGGGTGTGTACTGTGTCAACAAGCTGGGCTTGGATGAATCTAAGGTGAACCCTCGTGGTGGTGCTATGTAAGTGACCTTGGACCAAATTTGATTGATGCCATTCTGATGTTTCAAAGTGCTTTCGGTCACCCTCTCGGCGCTACTGGCGCTCGCCAGGCTGTCACTGCTCTGTCTGAGTTGCGTCGACAGGACAAGCGAATCGCCGTGACCTCAATGTGTGTGGGTACTGTAAGTTACCTCTGATCGTCATGACCAAATTTTTTTTAAGGTATACTAATTATTTTTAATAGGGCATGGGGATGGCCGGTATCTTTGTTTCTGAGCATTAAGCATGCAGTAAAGCGTTTACTACCAATAACTAGGTTGATGTTGTATATATTTTTCTGTGGACGCGAACATGATTCTACAATCTTGATACTATGTAGTGTTTGGGTGCGATGAAATTCCAATTCCTCATTTCCTCACTTTTTTAACATGCCTGACTGATACTATGAATAAAAAAAGAAGAGGGGGGATTCCCAGCAGTACATCACCCAGATGGCCATCCGACCGCGGACTACGGTCCCAAGGGGAATCGAAGCCAGGACCTATGCCTCGTTAAGATGACAGCCTTGCAAGTTTGATATTGCTCTTCATTACTGCACCACCCAGGCCTATGCTAGGAATACCTTCATTTATCCATATCGCCCATGAACCTTGTTTACCTACTCTTGGACCCTTGGAATAGGCGTCGGGGCCCACCCAGTGGGACCCACTTAACGTAACCTTATTCTCAAAGGAAACTCAAACGGGTCGTTAATATATCGAGTTTGTGTACATACAGGTAGGTAGTGGCGAGTCAAGGGTCCTTACGCACGTAGGCCCGATGGTAAGTGGTGACGACAGGGCACGGAGAGAGGCAAAAACACGAAGTTAATAATTTTCGACAAATATCTTTGCTCGTTTTAACTTGTTAAACATTATAAAAAGAAAAAGGAGGATTTCCAGCAGTACATCGCCCAGATGGCCATCCGACTGAGAACTATAATCCTAAGGGAAATCTAACATGCCCAGCGTCTTCGACAGAACTTGAACGTCTTATCTGTCGTGATCCAATCCTCGGATAAGTCTCCATCCCGAATCGGTGTATATACCCCTTGCTTCGCGGCAGCATTAACCAAGGATAAGCATCTCTAAAGCATTGTCATCTCCCCATCAACATGGCGACCAAGAAGTTATTTGATGGCTCGGCGGACGAGGATGTCGCTCTCGGGAATATGGGGTACGAGCAAGAATTCAAACGATCGTTCGGTCTGTTAGATATGGTGGGGTTCAGTTTCAGTATTGTGACTTGGCGAGCATCTCCCTCAACCTAGCATAAGAGCCATGTCTAATGCCGAACAGCTGGACAGCCTTAAGCGGTGTCTTCATCATTGGCATCCAGGCAGGTGGCCCACCTGTGATGATTTTCGGCTGGATCAGTGTCTGCATGTTCACAATGCTCATTGCCTTGGCAATGGCTGAAATGTGCTCGCGCTGGCCAGTGGCCGGAGGCCAATACTCGTGGGTTGCTATGCTCGCACCGACTCGCGTTTCCCGACAGCTGTCATATATCACTGGGTGGTTTATGCTGACCGGTTCGTGGCCGCCGATGTTTGGTGCGTAGTTGCTGACTTATTTGCCTAGGAGTTCTCGCTATGGGCGCGGTCAACAACTCCTTCGGATCGAACTATATCCTGGGCCAGGTCAACCTAGTCTTCCCGGGCTTTGTTGTCGAGCGGTGGCACACCGTCCTGGTTGCATGGGCCGTAGGGTTATTTGCTCTCGTCATCAATGTATTCGCACCGCATGCTTTGCACCGTCTATCTCGCTTCATCTTGGTGTGGAACATTGCCTCGTTCATCGTCGTGATCACCACCCTCTTAGCAACAAATCACCAGAAGCAAGACACGAATTTTGTATTCCACGAGTTCCGGAATATGACCGGCTTTGGCGCTTCGATGGCTACTATAACCGGCATTCTACAAAGCTTTTTCGGTATGTGCTGCTACGACGCGCCGAGCCATATGACAGAAGAGATGGCCCACGCCAGTCGAGATGCACCCAAGGCAATCATCTTGTCGGTCATCATGGGAGGTGTGACTGGACTGCTCTTCCTGTTGACACTGTGCTTTTGCATGGGTGATATCGAAGCAACAGCCAATTCAAGCACCGGAGTTCCCGTCATCCAGATATTCTACGACTCAACGCAAAGCAAAGTCGGGACCTGCATTTTGGCGAGTATGATCACCGTCATCATCATGGTCACATCCATCAGTCTCGTCGCTGAAGGATCACGATCAGTATATGCCTTTGCACGAGACCACGGGCTACCATTTTCGGGCTTGTGGTCTCAAGTCGAGCCAAAGAAGAAGATACCTCTTTACGCCATTTTTCTCACTGTGGCAGTGCAGTTAGGCCTGAACGCGATTTACTTCGGTACAGAGACGGGATTTGAAACGGTGATTTCGATAGCTACCACGGGGTTCTGTATGTTGGTATATTCGACTGGAGGTAACCATGAGCGTTAAGCAGCTAATGAGGGTTTAATTTAGATGTTTCCTACAGTCTTGTCCTTCTTGCTAGACTACTTGGCTATTTCTTTCGCCACCAATTCTCCTTCGATGGACCACATTCATTGCCGCTTCCGCTGTCGCTCGGTTTTAGTGTGATTGGTCTGCTGTTTCTGTTGTTCGCTTCTATTACATTCAATTTTCCATCCAATGCTCCGGTCACCTCCGAGTCGATGAATTATACTTGTGCAGCTATCGGGCTGTTGACACTGCTCAGCCTTGTGACCTGGTTTACTACTGCAACACAACGCTTTGCTGGGCCTTCAGATGTCAGACATTTAGTTGTCGACGGAATAGAACGCCCAATGACATTGCAACCCGCGGAATATGTTGAGCCGAGGACAAGCAAGGGAGGAGAGTAATGGTCAAGATACACTTGCTCTTTGAAGTATATATATAGCCTAGAGATTGATCCACATACCTAACCAACATTACATATAGAGTACAAGGAGAACTAGTTAAATAGAATTACAAATGGACGATCATAATTCATTCTCATTGAAATTCGTAGGCTACCCAAATTATAATATAGCCCATGATTAATCCAAGGCAAAACAAAACACAACTAGTAGCCGCAACAAGTAGGGGAATATGATTCTAAAATCCAAACAAAGTGACATAAAAATGAATTGATGCAGTGCCAATGGCCAGACACAGGTACTTGAGGAACACAAAGAACAACTTTTACCACTCAAGAGGCTCGTTCGTCACATCACCACGGTTGGTCTTGGGAACGGGAGCAGCCTCGACCATAGTCGCGCCACGGCGGTCACGACGGAGGTAGGCACTGCCATCCAACCAGGGGGTATCAAGGGTACGCTTGGACTCGAAGGTGCGGATCTTAGACTCCATCTGGAGAGTAAGACCAATATCATCCAGGCCGTTGACAAGGCAGTGCTTGCGGAATTCCTCGACCTCAAAGGCAGTGATCTTGTTACCCTGAGCATCCTTGATCTCCTGGTTGACAAGGTCAACCTCGACCTCACGGCCGGCGCGGGCCTCATCGGCGATCTTCTGCAGAGCAACCTCATCCGAGACGACGACGGGCAGCATGCCGTTCTTGAAGGTGTTGTTGAAGAAAATGTCGGCGAAGGAGGGGGCGATGATGCACTTGATACCAAAGTCGAGGAGAGCCCAGGGCGCGTGCTCGCGGGAGCTACCGCATCCGAAGTTAGGACCGGTAACGACCAGGATCTTGGAATCACGGTAAATGCCCTGGTTCAGGACGAAATCGGGGTTCTCCTTATCGTCGGTGTAGCGGAGTTCGTAGAACAGCGCGGTACCGAGACCAGTGCGCTTGATGGTCTTGAGGAATTGCTTGGGGATGATGGCGTCAGTGTCGACGTTGGCGCGATCCAGAGGCGCGGCGATACCCTTCAGGGTGGTGAAGGGGGTAAGACCGGTGCTCTTGCCACCGCCGCTAGCAGGGGCTGAAGAGTTGGCGTGGGGCTCATTGTCAGCAGGGTAGTCTAGGACACGGTCGAGTTCGTCCTCGGTTGCGGGAGATTCGAAACTAGGCTGGACGTCGATCTTGGGGGAGGCCTTGCCGAGGACGGGGCTGGCAACAACATGCTCACGGACATCAGCGAGCTTGCCGACAATGGCAGCAGTGGCAGCCATGGCGGGGGACATGAGGTGGGTACGGCCCTGGGCACCCTGGCGACCCTCGAAGTTACGGTTGGAGGTACTGGCACAGCGCTCCTTGGGAGACAGGATATCTGGGTTCATACCCAGGCACATGGAGCAACCAGCCTCACGCCATTCGAAACCGGAATCGGTGAAGATCTTGTCGAGACCTTCGGACTCAGCCTGCTCCTTAACAAGACCAGATCCAGGGACGATCATAGCGCGCTTGATGTTGGAGGCAACCTTACGGCCCTTGACGACCTTGGCTGCGGCACGCAGATCCTCAATGCGGGCGTTGGTGCAAGATCCAATGAAGACCTTGTCAACCACAACATCCTTCATGGGCGTACCAGGGACAAGACCCATGTACTCGAGAGCACGGATGCAAGAGGTCTTGCGGTTCTCATCCTCGAAGTCATCGGGGCCGGGGACAACACCAGTGATCGGGACGACGTCCTGGGGAGAAGTGCCCCACGAGATGGTGGGAATGATATCCTTGCCGTCAAGGAAGACCTCGCTATCGTACTTAGCGCCAGCATCCGACTTCAGGCTGGACCAGTAGCTGGTGGCCTTGTTCCACTCTGCGCTGCCATACTTGGGGGCCAGAGGACGGCCCTTGAGGTATTCGAAAGTGACCTCGTCGGGTGCGATCATACCGGCACGGGCACCACCCTCAATGGACATGTTGCACATTGACATACGGGCCTCCATGCTCAGTCCACGGATGACGGATCCGCAGAACTCAATAACAGCACCGTTACCACCAGCAGTACCAATGACACCGATGATGTGGAGAACGACGTCCTTACTGGTGACACCAGCGGGCAGCTCGCCATCAACCTGGATGCGCATGTTCTTGCTGCGGCGGGTAATGAGGGTCTGGGTTGCCAGGACGTGCTCGACTTCACTGGTTCCGATACCGAACGCGAGGGCACCGAAAGCACCGTGTGTGGAGGTGTGGCTGTCACCGCAGACAACAGTCGTGCCGGGCAGAGTGAAACCCTGCTCCGGGCCAATAATGTGAACAATACCCTGGCGCTTGTCGCCCATACCGAAGTAGGTGAGGCCAAAGTCCTTCACGTTCTCCTCCAGGGTTGTGCATTGGAGACGCGAATCATTCTCCTTAATGAAGTCGGCGGCATTTTTGAAACTTTTTCGTGAAGAGGTAGGAATGTTCTATTCGATGAAAACAGTCCAGTTAGTCGTGAGCTGCTAGTGGATATGGGATTTTAACATACGTGATCAACTGTAACCAGAGTGCAATCTGGTCGGCGAACCTTGCGGCTAGCGTTTTTGAGGCCCTCGAAGGCCTGTGGGGATGTAACCTCGTGAACAAGGTGTCGGTCAATGTAGATCAAGCAAGTTCCATCATCTTGCTCATTGACGATGTGGTCCTGGAAAACCTTGTCATACAAGGTCTTGGGTTTCGACTCGGCGGAAGGCATAGTGGGGGTGGATAGAAAACAACTAGGAAGAGAGGATATGAGGGTAGAAGGTTTGAGGATGAGAGAGAAAGGGGAGATAATAGGTGGAAGCTCCAATGAAGCAATATAGTATGTAAGTAGTAAGTACCAAAAGCTAGGGAACTGGAATGGGAATGACTGTTATATTTTTCTGCTCTGTAGCATCCGCGATGTCGCTGAAGAGCTTCTCGAGGGGCAACGCCGGTTTCGGCCGGTCAGCGGCGAATGGTACGAATTTTATTGGCCGAGGTGGCAACACAGGGGGAGGCCGATATCGGGCTCCGCTGGATGATTCAAAAAAGGGGATCGCGGCTAATCACGGCTCCCGGCGGATTCCCGTAGACCGCTCCGGACCAAAGTAATTGAGAGTCGCTGATTGGCTGGTCACCTGCATGGATTACCTCCGATCGGCCCGCCATTTTTTGACTCAACGCTTATACGCTAAGCACTACGAACAGGGTGTTGTGGCATACACCAAGTGGATATGGGGGATTATCTGGGGAACCTTGCTAACCCATATATCCCATATATTATAGCTCTTGAAGTTCATCAGCTGGATGTAAGTTGTATACATTGATCTTTTCTCACACTCAGGTCTCATTCCTCAATATCAACAGGATCCATTCATATAGGTCCTTAACAAAATAAATAAATAAATAAATAAATTTTGGACTTGTTTCATGGTCTAAAATCCAATCTACCTAAAGTAATATACCAAAACGCCAATGCCCATGTCTCTAAAGAAAAATTTCATAAAATGTAGCAAGAGCGCACGAGGCTATCGAGGCGCAGAACCCAGGTCGACCACGATCCTCTTTCCAGACACAGAACCACTCCGCAACGTCTCAAGCGCCGCATTGATACCTTCTAACCCACCTTCTGCATGAACAATTTCCGGTAATGTGAGATTCGTCGAGTGCAGAAGATCTTCCAACCAGCACACCATCGCTTCACCCACGGTGGGAGCCGTATGGAAGAGCTTGATGGGCACAGTGTGATATTGTACCCCGAGGGTTTTCTCTTTAGGCAGACCGGATAATCCAAGGAGATGGGCGTGTCCATCAGGATTAAGAGCCTTTTCAAGCTGCGTTGCTGTCTCTCTTCCGACTATATCAATGGCATACCGCAGCTTGCCCTCAGTGACACCGCGAATAATTTCCACTGCACGATCAGGGTCATGTCGATCGACCAGCAGATCTGCACCAGATTTCACAAGCTTTGCGCCATGCCGTACTGCATCGGCTACGCATATCACACGTAATCCGGCGAGTTTCGCCAGTTGAAGAGTTATCAGACCAGTGGTTGTTGAGGCTGCGGGATGAATGTTAGTGGTCAGATCGTAGGTAGTAATGGAGGCATTGATTGTCTTACCTCCCCAGATAGCAACCCAGTCTCCACGTTGTGGCTTTTCTGAGTCCAATAATGAGGCAAAGCATTCTTCATGTATATCGGCGGGTATATCATTTCTGTCGAGCTTTTTGATGATATTGGGCAAATTAGGTCCGGGGACTTGTGTGATGAGGGAGAAGTCTAGTCCAAATGAGACACCCAAAGCCAACGCAGCAGCAACAAATGCGACTCCGACAGAAGCTGAAGCGTGAATAGATGTTGAAGAAGGAATTCGGGCAGCGTTGAAGTCGGTGGCAATGGCGTATTCTTGGAATGCCGCTTTCCTAATATCCCGGTAATCTGTTGATGGTACTAACACAACGTCGCCTACGCGAAGACGTGATGACCCTTTGGGAACTTGTAGTACAAGGCCAGCCAGATCCCGCCCGTTGATCCATGGCAGGCTGGGGATACCAAAGTTGAATGCCCTAATCGATTCATGGGTTAGTTATCAATGATAATATTTGGTAACGCCGATTTCGGGCTACAGAATAGTAATACTTACGGTCCCTTCCAGTCGACTGGGTTGAGGCCGATCGTAAGAACCTGCGAATCAATAGTCAGCATCTCGGTTATACAAGATCCAGTCGGCGGGAACATGTCACACCTTGACAAGAATCTCTCCATCATGCAAGACAGAAGGAATAGCATGATCATCTACCAATGCATACTGTTCACGGGCCCCCTTGAGAAGCAAGACTTTTTGTCTTGACTCCTCAGACCGCGGCGAGGGGGGCTCACTCTCAGATCTTGACTCATTGGAGTAATCTGAAAGAGACTCCGAAGACAGGTATTGGTGGAAATTAGTTGGGGTCTTCTGCAACTCTTCGAGTTGGAGGCAAGTAGAGGTAGTCGACATGGTGCTTGGGGGTAGTAATGGCATGACTTGAAGCTTGGATCACAGAGAAACGCCAATTCAACTATTAGGCTCTATCTATATTGTCCTTGGTACCAGTCTATATAATCTCTCGGGCGAGAAGATAAAGCCAAAGCACGCCTCATCTTAGGGCGCGGGGCAGTGGTACCAAATTCATCCCGGTAGGAGTACCTCCACTAATCGCTTGGCTCTGGGACGTCCTAGCAAGATCAGTGGGATAATTTCGTCTCACATTGGCGTAATGAGAGCATTCCCGTACTTCCGAGGCCTATTCATAGTCGTTATCCATTGCTCATGGCGGGGCATAAATGGCGTGATGAACTGGATGACCGAGGGTCGATCAACGCTCTTATATTTGCCGAAAGATGGGGGATCATGAGGACTAGAATGACCAAATGGAACTGATAGAGATCTGATTAGGGATATACATAAGGGATAAATTAATAAAAATGAAATATTCTCTACTCTTTTCAAGTACAAATTTGAAAATTTGAATCTGGAATCTCGTAGTTTATCTCCAAACTGATGTGATCCTGGGTTGCGATGACGAAACTTGCAACAGCCCTAGGATTTCAACACCTTGGACCCAAATCGCGAATATCTGCTTGGTAAGATCTGGAAGTAATGATAACTAGTCAAAAGGTACAGGAGTAATTCCGTTTCATTTGAATTATTAATCGACTTAGATTGTTCATACTGGTGGATATAGAGACATATATGTGATCCCTTTCAGATTTGCTATAGTAACCGCAACACAAAACACGTCTTTTTTTACGGAGTAGTGATTGATACAATAATGCTCCGGATATCACCTGAGTAAAAGATTATTCCAAGTCTATTCCACGTACTCCGTATATTGTATAAGATAAAAATCCGGGGTTCATAGTGTATCCCCATGCTCCCATACATCCGGATGCTCAAATCCGCTTGATAATACTCAATCCCTTGGATATTATCATCATTAGTAAACTTCTTTCTCACTAAATCTAAGCATTCTAACCGTTTTCCAATTAGGTGTATTCGCCTGCAGGATTTGTGCCGCCTCTTGAACGTCCCGTGCGAGCACGTAATTCCACCACAAAACGACAACATTGACTGGGTACCAAGGCTAAAATCTCTTGGAAGCTAGACAGTGGTCTGAAAGACCACAAAACAATGAAACCTTCCCGATATTGGCATCGCACGGGACAGATATTTTGAGGAAGTACAGCCGATAACCTTTGATATCAAGTATACGTAGATCTCGCGCGGGCGCTATGGTTATAAACAAACGCAACTCCCTGTCAAAATAAACTGACTACTCAATTATTCCTTCTACTTCATGATGACGAACTCTGAAAAAGATGTTGCGCTGAGTGATGAGGTGTCGCCGGTTGGTGGGCCACATACAGGTGAGCTTGGAATACTGCTCCTGTATAAAGTCGATGAAGCTGACCATGACCCTGAAAGTCAAATGGTACCGTTCGACATTTTACAATGCATTCATTCTCGGTCTCTGTAATTTTCTCGCCCCCGGCATTTGGGGAGCGATGAACTCTTTGGGCGGAGGCGGCGAAGAGAAACCCTATCTCGTCAACGCAGCGAACGCCTTGACCTTTGGGCTTATGGTAGTTTCTTGTTTCTTTGGTAGTGTCATTGTGCGATTTATCGGCATCAAATGGACACTCATCGTTGGAACAATGGGATACGCACCTTACGCAGCAGGGCTGTACACAAACAACCGATTTGGTAAAGAATGGCTGGTGATCCTGGGCGCGGCACTTTGCGGCATATCAGCGGGTATATTTTGGATGGCAGAGGCAGCAATTGCGCTTTCGTATCCCGAGCCATACAACCAAGGCCGCTTCTTGGGATTCTGGCTTAGCTTTCGTGTTGGGGGGCAAATTCTCGGCGGCGTCATCAGTCTGGGCATCAATGCCCATCGATCGACCTCGGGCTCCATCTCATACACCGTGTACTTGATTTTCATTGCGCTACAGGCTCTTGGTCCTTTTGCTGGTCTCCTTCTGAACAATCCATCTCAGGTGCAGCGAAAGGATGGAGTCCCTGTTAAACTTCAGGTGACGAACAGTATCGGATACGAGCTGAAGAGCATGTCGAAGCTTTGGATCAGTCGCAAGTTTCTGTACATTGTTCCATTTATTTGTCAGGCTGTGTATACAGAGGCTGTGATGTTTTCCTACGAAGGTTTGTGGTTCACAGTACGGGCCAGAGCTCTTGGGTCATTCCTTTCCGGTGTAATTGCTTTGGTCATCGGCAACGTTCTAGGAGCCTTCCTTGACAGCAAACGGATATCTCTAAAAAAGAGAAGTCGATACGCATTTTTCTTCGTCGTCGGGTGGCAAGGCATGTGCTGGGTTTGGGCTTCAGTGGTGACAACGGAGTTCAACAAGACACAGCCGACATATGACTGGAATGACCCAGGTTTCGGAAGAGCCTTCGCCCTCTTCCTGTTCTGGGTTGCTAGCTTCCAGCTCAACTATATGTATCTGTAAGTTGAACCTCGATGTGTGATGGTTCAGTTGGAATGATACTGATTTATCAGGTTTTTCTTGGTGGGCAACCTTGCGGATGATCATGAAGAGGTGGTCCGGATTGCGGGCTTGTTACGTGGGACTGAATCCGCCGCTCAATGTGTCAGCGTATGTACACCTCTTATCTCGCTTCTGTGCAACATGAATACTAACCGGGTGTCTCCAGTATGGTCTAAGTAGCGTGAGCATCATGGCCGCAGTGGGTAGCGTATACCTAAACTTTGGCTTGTGGGCTATCGCAATAGTTCCTGCCTGGCTCATTGTCAAGGAGGTCGGAGAAGCTTTCGGGGATAAAAAGATTGCTAGAGAGACTCCTGGTTTGCGCGGGGCCGAGGATCATGAGTAAATGGTTAGAGCAAGGAATCGAATTTTGGCGCAAGTCTATGAAAGAGTTGGTACGGCAGAATATAATGTTAATTTAGAATTTTGGGGTGTATCCCCTCGGTGTTGAAAATATATACATGGAAAAGGTGGTGCTTCTATGATGGGCCTGGTCCAGGATTCTTGCAACCCAGAACACTTTTAAAGCTATGCGATGAAACCGAATTCCCTGTTATCATGGGGAAACACGAGCAACGCGAGACGATGTCGTACAAACAGACCGAGCATTCCACAGACAGTTTGCACTGCAACCATGTGCCACGCCAGTTGGTCTTCTCGCATTGGACCCATCCACACCAGCCAAAGATTCAAGATAGTGAGATTACTCGATTCAGTAATCCGACCATTTTCGTCCTGGGTAATTCGCACCAGTCTCAAGTTGTGTAATACGCGCAGTGCGGTATCGATTAGAGGCGACGGGGGACTCGTCCACTCCGTGACAGAAGCGTCCAACAACCCTGTGGAAGCGCTGAACTTTGGCAATCGATGGCGGGGACAAGGAATGAGCTTAAATAGCTGGGGGGTTGAGTACAGAAAATTGAAGATCTGCGGAATGAACAGCAGCAGCAGGGTTTTGCTGAAATGGCCTAGGATACCAACCACGGCAAACACCATCCCTGCAAAATAGCAGTACGTATCGCCCACGAACACCTTCGACGGATACCAATTATGGAATAAAAGGGCTGCTGATACACCAATGAATGGAAGCAGGAAGTATATCGATAACAGGTGCGAGTCCGTGGCAGGGTGCGGGTATGGTGTCATGGGTGCAAGGTACATCGCATCATTGAATAGCAATTGGATCGCAATCACTAGTGACTGAGCGACTTCGATACCGTTAATACCTGCCAACATGTTGATCGCATTTGGACAGAAGATTGCCACTGCTGCCATGTACATGTAGTACAGCCATCCAAGATCAACAACATCACCTAGGTAGGTTTGCAGCGGCACCGGCACAACGACTTGTGTGACGCCGAAGTCAACAAAGTACACAATAAGCATGGGAATTGCGGAGAAAGCAGGGATCAGGACTTTGTGTCTCCAGCGAATATCGAATAGGTCATCACCGATTCCGAGAATTACGACAGACTGCAAAGATAAAAGACCAGAAAGGTAAGAGGCGAGCTATTGAATTGCGCGTTAGCTTAAGACCTGCCTCGCTGACTACGAAATAAAAACTGACCTTGCCATGTGGAAATCGATGAAGGAATCGGCCATTCTCAATATGTTGCGATTCAATCACAACGTCACGGTTTCCACCGCCCGATGTGGCCGCAACGATATCCTTGTAGAAGGCAAACGGAATGAACATAATGAGTGACATCAGATACACCACTGCGCAGACTGCGCCCATGGTTTCAGGTCTAGATTAAAATATTAGTACATGCGATGATCTCAAGTTCTAAGAGCAATATACATACATTTCGGGCCGGCTAGGCTTTGCCATGTCTTTGCCCTTAAGTCCTGCCTTCAAAAATACAGGCCCGAGCCACCTGATAAGGCTGAAAGCCACCGCAAACACTATGCCACATAATGCGATTGAAGCCACTAAAGGCGCCCCATCACCTTGGAACGTGGTGTTGAGTATCGCTAAACCGGCCCCCACGAGGGCTAGTAGACGCCAAGTCTCCTTGCGGGAGAGGGTGCTTGAGGGATGCATGGCGGATAAACGACCGAGATGGCAGGAACGGGGCCCCTCTACTGCGAAGAGAAATTCACAAGGAATTGACCTACGCAACAAGAGTAAAAGTCCACGTCGGCGACGCGCAATCTGTCTTCATTCCCCAAATACTCGATAAGCTTATCGTGTTCTGCCGGAATTATCTGACCGCTAAAATTAGCGGTGAGAGAGTATCCCGTGATGCTTGCGACCAAGAAAGGTAAGGCGACGTCAACCACCTGTTTCATACCTCATACGTGCAGATGCATGAAATTTGAATCGTTATTGGCCCAGCTGTTTAATTCGTCAATCTCATAGCCCAGTCCGTTCCGATGGGGGCAGTGGAGCGTCTCGAGATAGCGGCTGGATTTGCCGACTTCGACGCCGGCCATCGGGATCTCGTCACCGTCACCAGATTTAACTTCTATGGCAACCGTATTGTCACCGCTTCCTCTGATCACCGCATGAAAGTATGGGATCTCAAGGATGGCCAATGGCAACTTATAGACACCTGGCGCGCGCACGATGCTGAGATTCGAGATGTATGTCCCCAAACAAGCCAGGGCACAATTCTAAGGCTGCCATTGCGACTCACGTACTAAACTACTATTCCAGGCCACGTGGAATGGTCCTTTCACAGGCCAACATATTGGCAGTGTCGGAGAGGACATGAAGTTGAAGATTTGGCAAGAGGATGTAACCCAGCCACCAAACTCAGGACGGCGTTTCAAATCGGTCTTTCGCATGACCGCACCCCAAAGACACCCATTTGTATCACTTGACTTTCGCAATATTGACCTGGAGTCATGGTTAGCCGTGATAACACGCGATGGCTACCTCATGGTTATGGAACCCGTCAGCCCCGATAGCCTTGCAGATTGGCAGCCTGTTGACCAGTTCCGAGTGTGCACCGCCCCGGAACGCGGCGAGGAAACAAGTTTCAAAGTCCAGTTCCATCATGATCCCGCCGACATCACTCACACTATCTCACCGGATTCTGATCGGAAGAGCCTGTCGCTAATTGTGGCTGCCATGGACACCGTCAAAATCTACCGCACTGATGCAAACCGACGATTCTACCATGCAATTGAACTGAATGGGCACAGCGGTCTTGTGAGAGATATTTCCTGGGCCAATGGTTCTGTGCGTGGTTACGACCTTATTGCGAGCGGCGGCAAGGATGGTTTGGTCCGAATCTTTGAAGTGTACACGATGCCAGCTGGTCAAGCACCACAGAGCTCTAACGGCCGGAAGGCAGAAATTCGCATGCAGTCACAGTCCCAATCGCAGTCACCGTCGCTCCGAGCAACATCGCAGTCAGGGATCGGCTCTGCCTTAGCAAGCCGTGTGCCTGCATCGGCGACTGATCGCCAACCCAACGGGGATTCACAATTTAGGCACTCGTTCAAACAGGTGGCTTGCATTGACAGCAATCACCTCGATGTGTGGCAGGTCCAATTCTCCTTCTCCGGTGAGTATATCTTTGTTTTTCTCCAACCCTAAATCTGTTCGCTAATGCACTGTTAGGTGACTCGTTGATTTCCTCTGGAGACGATGGGACAGTTCGGTTCTGGAAAAGATCTTTGTCTGGAGAATGGCTCGAGTTCGCTGAAACAGACATGGCTTCTCAGTGATCTCCAAGCACTGCAGGACATCATTGGAAATTCTTGAAAAATGCCCAATACTTGTCTCTTCCCAACCTCTCGGCCATCACCCCATTTATTTCCCTTCATAATCAATGATACCCTTTACATTTGATTTCTGCATACTCCTGTGATCGCACTTGGTAGTATTTCTGGAACTAATTAGTTGAATTCGAGGTCGATGTTTTTTTTTTCTTTCTTTCTCCAATTATCTCAATCACATGAGGAAAGAGCGAGGCTAGGAGGTTCCGTTGACGATTTACTTCTCGAGCCAAACCCATTCTCGGCCTTCTCCCTTCGTCGCCTATTACCCCTTCATTATCTATATTCATTGTTAGTTCATCATGGCTCTCGGTCCGACCATTGGCACTGGCTTGTTCATCGGCGCTGGCCAGGCGCTCGCAGTTGGCGGACCTGCCTTGCTGCTCGTGTCGTATATAATTCTATCCTTCCTCACCTTTGTCATGACTACGAGCCTGGCCGAAGTATCCACTCACATGCCATCGCAACATGGAACACTAGTCACCAACGGCTACTTGTACATGTCAAGCAGTTTGGCATTTGCTTCAGCATACCTCCGCTGGTACACTCTCGCTTTGTTCGTCCCATACGAGATCACCTCGGCGATGGTCAACCTTGGCCTGTGGAAAACAGGGTCCACGATCGCAATCAGATTGGTTATCATCACGACCATCGTTGTTGGCTTCAACTTCCTGCCGGAAAAACTCTTCAAAAGTTCAGAGCGATTGTTTACTGCGATAAAGATCGGCACTATGGCGACCCTCTTCGTCCTCACTCTGGCTCTGGGTCTTGGAGGTATAGATGCGCAGCCCCCATGGGGATTCAAATACTGGAAACATCCAGGCGCCATGAACGAGTACCTAGTTCGAGGTGTATGGGGACGGTTTCTGGCTTTCCTCCAATGCCTTCTCGATGGCTCCATCGCTTTCACGTTTGCCCCTGAGTTGATTGTGCACCAAGCGGAAATGCCAGCATCGCCTGTGCCAGAATCACTTGGCGAAACAGCGCTTCTAAGCGCCAGCATCCCAAATAGAGTCACCTCTGATGTTGCTCAAACGGCATTCCCGTATATCCTGAGCTCCTTGGCCATGGGTGTTATGGCTCCTTTCAATGAGACGCGTCTGACCAACAACGGAACGGGCTCCGGGGTTTCTCCTTACTTGATCGGACTCAAAGATGCAAATGTTCAAATTATACCTACTATCACGATGGTTGCAATCCTACTTTCCGCTGTGGCTTCTGGGCGATCCTTTTTGTATCTCTCTTCTCGCACACTTTGTGCAATGTCGGAGCTCGGCCATGCTCCTCCGATATTTTCCACCCGCAACCGTTGGAATGTTCCATATTTGGCTGTTGCAGCATCCGCCGTGTTCTGCTGTCTTGCCTTTATTTCAGTGAAAGTCCCGAGTACAATCATGAACACCTATCTCCTCCGTCTTGTCACGAGCGCCGGTTTCATTTCCTCGCTTGTGTCATGCACCATCCATCGCCACTTTGATCGGCGGCTCAAAGTGAACGGAGTCGTCAGGCGGCATAGTTTCTCTTCGCAGCCATTAGGCTCGTATTTCGGGATGGTGATCAGTGTCCTACTGCTGTTGAGCGGCGGTTTGTGGGCAGCACCCAAGGGAAATCTGGCTGGGTCCCGAGCAGCCAGACTGATCACCCCATATGTCAATGTCGCTGTATTCGGCCTGTTATTCTTATTCCATCGATTCCAAGGCTTTCTGCCCGTTGTTGCGATTAAAAGACAAGTGGGGGTGGGTGGACGCGGACACGGCGACCGCGAAGGACTAAAAGAACCTCGGACACCGAAGATGCACCCGCATCGGGGTAAACTTGACGTGATCCCAGAGAGTTCCGGGGCACTTGAGTTGCGGCTCGACCAGACTATGTTCACAGAGCCTTCCTAATACACCGATGGAGATTGATGCGATACATGCAAGATGGTATAGAAGTGGAATTGTGGAGTTGGTATGTCTGCGTCTGCGACCCAGGTCTGTTATTATTAAAGATTGATTCTCGTTCCTTTCAAGTTCAAGAGTTCTGTTTGTATAATAGCGTTGCCAAATAGAAGAACTTGCGCAAATCTGATAAGTAGTTAAAAGTAATATATCCATACATCGATGGATCCAGAGAAAGTGAAATACCAAATAATATATAATACAGTAAGTTTTCCATACATCATACCGAAACTGACCGGACAATTTGATCTTTTTTTATTTTCCTTTGTACTTTGGGGCGAAACGGCGCCAAATCATAATGGGAATTCTAACAAGCCCCCCCCCCCTTTACCACTTGTGTCGGAACCCCCGAAAACCTCCTTCTTTTCCCTTCTCTCTCTTCCGATTTTCATATATTTATACTTACTCCATATATGCCTAACCTTGTCGTACAAGAGGCAGATGACCCTTTTGCCCCTCTTTGATATCCTTTCCCTCCTATCTCTCCCAAGCATTTTCTACCCGCCTTTCCCCATGTTACTTTTTACCTGCTTCTTCATACTTCCTTATACTCCGTCATACTGCCTGGATACTTCATCGGCCTACCCAAACACCCCTTGAACATCTAATACTCCCCGTAGGTAGCCCTTATCGCCTCCTGTTCTCCCTTGCGTTCTCCCGGATTTCTTTCTCGAGCCGAGTTCGTAGGAATTCTTTTGTCCCCCCACAAGAAAATCCCCGTTTCCCTAAGAGGTTTTAAGGACGACAAAGCCTTCCACTACGCTCAAGACCTATACTATTACTATTATTATTATTTTGGGGTTCTTGCTCACTTTGATGGCGATATCTCGCTTTACTGCATTGAGTGGCCTGGCTTTCATTATAGCCCTGTGGAAGGGCCAATAGGGCTGTCCCTCGATTCATTTTGGACTTGAGGGTATAGCTATGGTTCTTTTTGTCTTCCCTTATCAGTTTCTTACTCATCTAGATGCTAACCCTCAGCTATGGATTGCCCCATTGACTACCTCCGGGATGCCCTAGGCATCCAATGACATTCCCGTGACTTTCCCCACTACATTGAAATGGCGCTAGTCCATATTAGGTCTAGTGTATTCCATGGCTTACTGAGAACAGTCGGTTTTGCAGATTACCAAATTACCATACCGGTAACCTTGGAATTTTCCAAAATTGACAGGAATCTGTCCAGTCACTGTTCACAATGAAATCCAAGAAAGAGAGAGAGACACCTTGGATGGTTGTTTTCGGGTGTCCTTCCCCTCCTCCCTCGAAGTCCTCCGGCTCGTCCCCTCAAGTCTCAAATCGCCCCCCTTTCACCCTTACACACTTGGTCGCTCTGCCTACCCGGACGGCCCATTCTCTGCCTTAGGCCCCCGTAGCCTCCTCCTTCCTCTGTCTCCAGTTCCTCAAACTCACTCTCTTCTTTTTCCTCTCCTTTCCTCTACCCTCCTTCCTTCGCGCTTTTCTTCCTTCCTTCCTTCCTTTCTCTCATTTAACTTTTGTGCGCCAACCTTTTCTCATCTCTTCCGATCATCGATTCTACGACTTCCTCCCCCCCTTTCGCTTCCTTCTGTGACCGCACCGTCTTCCAACTTTCCAACGCGTCCACTGTCCAACGAGACGAGATTGGAAACACACACGACCACGAGAAAAATTGATATGCGACTTGAACAGTGACAGCTTGGCTACGCCTCTGTCGAGAAAACATCATTTTGTCTTCGCCTGAGAGGGGGTTATCTGTCGGCGATGACAGATACCTCCTCCCTCGCCATCACGCACGCCACAACGGATCCCTATCCGGTCCACGCCCATCGTGGGTCCCCTGCCGCCGTCGACGGCGCCGCCTCTGACTCCGGCGCACCCGATGAAGAACCTTACACCATCAAATGTATTTGCTCGTTCGATGAAGATGATGGCAACACGGTTTTCTGCGAAGGGTGTGAGACATGGCAGCATATTTTGTGCTACTACCCGGACAAGAAAGTACCAGATGTGCACAACTGTGTCGACTGCGAACCACGGCCCCTTGACAACCGTCGTGCCCACGAACGACAACGGCTGCGGCGGATCAGGGAGAAAAGCGAGGACGGTGACCGGAAACCAAGACGCTCTGGCCCCAAAACACACAAGAGAAAGTCCAATGATGCCGATGGGAATGCCTTCGGTCATAGACGACATGATTCGGGCTCCCGTGAACAGCCACCAGCCAAGAAAGCAAGGGTGTCTCGCCGCCCATCGACTTCAATGAGTGGTATTTCGGTTCCCCCGGGTCTGTCGGCTGAATCGCGAAACCGTCGATCCTCCACCTCGGTTGCGATGAGCCCAACAAGCATCCCTGGCCCTTCTATCCCTTATTATTCGGACGAATTTCTCTCTCTTTACGACCGTGATGATCAATTCGTTGAATCGAAGAGTATTCTCAATTACGGCGTGGATTTTGTCAATGAAATTGTTGCGTGGCTGAAGGACCCACAGATCTTGGCGCGAGTTGCCGATGGACTCAGTGTTGAAGACTTCGCCAAACGGTCCGAAGAGGCCATGGATCGGTCTCGCTGGCCGTCGTTGGCAACAGAAACCATTACGGACTCGACAATTGAGATCAATGGTAAACACCCAGTCCACAAGATCTTGAAAACACGAGATCCCATTGAAAAGGACGATATTGTCGGTGAAATCTTTGGCAAATTAGGCCACGTCAAAGACTACAAAAAGCTCGACAGCAACCGATGGGAGGAATTGGGGCATGCCATGCCTTTCGTGTTCTTCAACCGGCAGCTGGACTTGTACATCGACAGTCGTCAGGAAGGAAACGAGCTCCGCTACGTCAGGCGGGCATGTGAGGCCAACGTTAACTTAAAGATCTATATCACCAATGGCCGGCAGTACCATTTCTGTTTCGTCGCTAAAAAACCAATCCCTGCAAATTCGGAAATTACCACCATGTGGTATTTCGACGACTCTTTCTTTCCCGCCGACGCGACAGTGAAGGAAGAGTTCAAGGACAGGGTGGTAGACCCAAAGGACGCCGCTATTTGTATTAGCACCACATTGGCCAACTTCGGTGGCTGTGCTTGTGGAAACCCTCAAGCTTGCGTTCTGAACAAACTTGATCGTCGTGCGAAGCTAGGGAGCCCTGCAAACAAACACGCCAAGCCGAAGCTGAAGGGAAAGGGCAAGGGCAAGAAGCCAAAAACCCTCGGTTTCCTTGCTGACCTTGGTCGCGCCGGTAGCGAGACCACCAAGCATCTTGATGACCATGACCCCGCAGCCGACGCCCGATCAACTTCTGGTTCCGCGCATGGTCGACACACTGGCAGCCGCGATCTCAGCCCCACGGCGTCGCAACAGTTAACACTGCCAGAGCTCTCCAGTCGCGAAAGACGCAAGATAGCGGATGCCGAAAAACAGTTCCAACAGCTAGAGCAGCTTAGAACTGTCAACCCCAAAAGAAAAAAGCGTTCTAGTGGCCCTGCGACACATTCCACCCCTGCAACGGTCTCGAGCTCCACCCAAACTGGTTCCAACTTCAAACCTTACCACGGGCCTGGCCCGTCTCGACTCTCTGAGATGGCAGGATCATCGTCCCGGCGTGATTTTGCTTATGTCGACGCTCAAACCGAACTTTACGCTGATGACGTTGAACGCTCGTTCTTGCATGCAGAACGTTTGAGACGAGGATACAGACTCGACATGATCCATCCAACACTTATGCTTAAGATTCGGTGGTGTGCGGGTCTTCATGTCGCAGAGGACTGTGCTCAGCGAGATGCATGGGAGGCCGGCAACTTTAGTGTCGTGCCATCTGGAGTCCTCCCCTGGTGGTATGGTTGGTTCCCGCTCCCAATCGATGACAGGTCTCATATCGAGCTGCTCAGGGAAGATTCCGACAGAATGGGAATACCTCCTGATCACGGCCCCCTTGTGATGCCCCCTCGGTGGTCTTTCCACCAGTCCAAGTATCCCCAGCCTGAATTCAAATACCATGGGGTTTCGATCAGAGGAATGCATTATGACCCTCCCGCGCGACTCGTCCAAGGCGATTTTGATAATCGGGGCGCTCTCTCACACAGAGTGGAATCATCGGCATTTGTGCCTAGCAGGGATCTGTTCAAGCCATCAGTTCCGCCTTATTGGCCATCTACTGCGGCGCATATCTTTAGGCTTCCTGGAACTGGTAATCGTGGCAATTTGCATGTTTCCATGCCACCACCAAGGGCCTCGAACCTCCAGTCCGCGCTTAGTCCTAGTTCCATGTCGACAGGGAGTCTCGCATCACCTAGTTCTCATGACACAGCTTCCCCAATCTCTCTCGCGCCATCTTCAGGCTCTGCACTCGCAGCTACACCTGCCAAGAAGAAACTCAGTCTGGGTGATTATCTGATTCGACGTGGTACCATGACGACCACCCCAACTTCGGAACCAACTCCTGCCCCAGCTCCTGGTCCGCCTCCTGGCGATCCTCGTCTTCGCTCCCAACATTTTCTAGCCATAACGACGGTGTTCGGCGACAATCAGCATTCTCCCCACAAGACCGAAGCTGGAGGTGACAAGGACGAGCCCTCCGACTCTCTGGATATCTCTATGGAGGATGCACCGGAGACAACACCCACCAAAAACCCGTCTATCTCTTCGTAATACGACCATCCGAGTGGTAGTAATGGTGGGCCTGTGATAAAAGAAAAATTCCGCCGTGGATTTAACGTTTTTTACGACCCAAAATTTCTTTTCTCGTGTGATTTCATTTCGATACCTTACAGCGAGGCGGGCACGGGCGTTTGGACTACTTGTTTCAACTTTTTTCTTTTTTGCTTTTTTCTGTGCCGGCTTCTCTTCTTTTTCCCCTCCGACTTTTCGGACTTTGGTTGGCGTATGGCGTGGTTTGGGATTGGTTCTTGGTTATGGGAAATACCATTTGGGTCAGGGTCTTTGAGAATTGTGTCTGCCTGAGTTGCAGCACTTGATCTTTCACGATTTGTCCAGTTTAATCTTGGATATGTATGGCCTCTTTTCGAGACTAGATAGCTTGTATGAACAATGTAACTTTGTCCTGTTTTATTGGCCTCAATTGGTATGGGAGTATAGATCGGTATATCTCAACCTTGCATGTTTTATTCTCCAGGATTTCTCTTTATACCAGATGTTATCGCTAATGTGAAACCCAGGTTAGGGCCCTTTCTTTTCGAAATGAAGCTAAACTTATCCAAGTTGACTATGCGAGATGATAGGCTGGACAAGATGACTCAATCATCGCGAGGGGAAACTCCTCACGCGACCCCTCGTTCCTTCCCTTCATTGTCTTTGCCCTCATCTACAACTCATATACATTGCTTATACCATTGGTTGTAAACCAAAATGACCAATTCTAATCATGAAACCCTCGTGCTGAACCAGATTGATACTCACAGATCTACAGAGATCTCTGAGATTGAGCAGCCCGCGCTTCCTCCAGCAGATGGAGGCAAGGCAGCATGGCTGATGTTAGCTTCATGCTGCATCATCCAGATACCAGTCTGGGGTCTGTTGTGACTGAACAGAAACCGCATGTAAATACTAACGAAGCATCCAGGGTTCTCCACTGTCTTTGGTGTCTTTCAACAGTACTACTCAACACATGACGTCCTACAGGGAAGCAAGAATGACTTGGCAACTGTTGGAACTACTTCCACCGTATGCAAAGGATATACTAGGATGGCTTCATTTTACTCTAATGCTTTATGATAGGGACTTCTTTATCTTCTCTCGCCTATCACTTTCACACTTCTGACAAGATACCCGCATTTACAATACTATTCTGCACCCGCAGGCCTGGTCATCACTGTGATAGGATCTCTGTTATCCTCGTTCTCGCAGCAGGTATGGCATTTGATTGCCACCCAGGGTGTCATGTGTGCCATTGGGAATGGGCTCTTGTTCAGTCCGTCCTCTTTGTACCTTGACCAGTGGTTCTTGCGTCGCAAGGGCCTTGCGCTTGGAACTATGTGGGCTGCAAAGAGTATCGTTGGAGTCGCCTTGCCTTTCATTGCTAGTGCTTGTTTGAATAGGTTTGGCTCGAGTACTACACTAAGGGCTTGGACTGTTGTTACGGTATGAGCCAAATCCCTTTCCTCTGTATTTTGGTGGTTTTGAATTGAAGTATATGACGATGTGTCTTCGGTTTGATACCAAACCGTCGGGCTATCAATGATCGTCACGTTCTCAAGCCACGGCTGACAAAAAATCCGAATTGTCGGAATCTAGCTGTTAACTACCCTCATGGCCTTGCCATTCATGAAACCCCGTATCCCAATCTCGCCATCTTCTTCAGCCCGCCGCTTGGATCTGAGCTTCCTCAAACAACCCACTTTCTGGATGTTGCAAACGGGGAATATTATCCAGAGTTTTGGATATTTCTTACCAACGACATTCCTCCCCTCTTATTCGACAAGGACTGTCGGGCTATCCCAGAATACTGGCACAATGCTAGTCTCATTATTCAACGCAACATCTGTCTTTGGTGGGATAGCCCTGGGAGCACTCTGTGACCGCTTCTCCGTCACAAACATCATGCTACTATCCTCAGTTGGCTCGGCATTATCAGTGCTTCTATTCTGGGGTATGGCATCATCGTCAAGCGCAGACTCGTCACAGACAGCCATTGCCCTTCTTACTATCTTCTCTATTACGTATGGCTTCTTTGCTGGGGGGTTCAGCTCCACTTGGTCTGGGGTCATTACTCAGATCAAGCGTGACTCGTCACCATCTCTCGATACTGGACTTGTCTTTGGGCTTCTTGCTGGTGGACGGGGGATTGGAAATGTCATTAGTGGGCCGTTGAGTACAGTGCTGCTTCAGTCGGGGTCTTTGGGGGAGTCGAGTGGTCTGAGTGGTAATACTGGTTATGAAACACAGTATGGAACGCTAATTCTTTTCACTGGTATCACGGCATTTTTCGGTGCATGGAGCTGGATGTGGAGGTATATCAGCCCTGCACTGCGATGTCTCTGTTGATCGTTTAGCACAGTGGAGTATGTGAGCAGAGAATATGTACGCAGTGATGGCTGGTGGATAGGTACTTAAAGAAGGTATGACAAAGACAAAGGCAGGTGAATAGAATCAAATAGCAGCTATCTCTTTATAAAAATGTCTTGTTCAAACTATTCTTTTTGAAGGGTAAATAGTCTGACTTGAAATCCATTGGAATACCGCGTCACGTGCAGTTCTGCGGAGCTTCGACTCCAAATGCGCGTTCTTCAATCCCAGCCCCGACAACTTTCTTACATATACCTGCTGCAACCAAGGGCCACTGCCCTATCTACAACAATGGCATCCGAGGCCGCACTCCAAGATCCTCTCCTGTCACTGCGACGTGCGATTGCCTCTGGCAACCTCCCAACGCCGACAACCTCGTCCGAGCTCTCCGACCAACCTGCCACAGACGACCTGGCCAAAGCCACACATCTCTACTTCGCCCAACCAGCTCCTCAAACAATCGCTTTGTCAACCCTCACACGATTCATCTCTGCATCTACCAAATCCCCTGTTGACCTGCGCAGTATCCTTTTCGCTTGGCAGAACAAAGATGTCGCCATTCCCGAGTACATCGCCAAGGCGCAAGAATTCAACGAAGCACTGAAGCAGCAGACGAAAGAGGGGGCCAAGGAAGAAAGTGTCCAGATTCTTATCTTCCTCGAGCGCCTTGACCTTTTCACCTGGCTAGAGGGTGCCTCCGACGACAGCGAACACATCAAACCCCTCGAGGGTGCCGCTGCCGCTGCTGAGGCCGCGGCTGCGGCTGCAGGTGTTGCGCAGGCCGACAATGCCGCCGGAATTGCCGCCGGTGCAATTGGCGGCGTCACCTCCGTCCCCAGTGGAACCACAGGAGCAGCCCAGCCTGGAACCCAACTTGGCCGCCCACAAAAGCAGATTGACCCTCGACTACAGGAGATTTACAATGGGGAGCGCAAGACCGGTGACCGTAACACAGTGCTGCGGGGAATCAAGCCGACTGTGAGTTTACTCTAGACCAGATACGATAGACCGTATCAAGCTAACCAACTCCCCAAGGACTTCTCACACGTCCGCAAGAGCGCCGAATTATTCCTCGACCGCAACCGCAGTCGCCCAGGCCAGCCAAGCGCCAAACCGGGCAGCAAGGGTACCATCCCGGCCCCATCAGCCGGCCTCTCGATGTCATCATCGCGCAAATCGAGCTCCTCCCACTCCCGCCCCGACCCAATCATCCTAATCTCCCCCTCCGCCTCATCCCTCATCCGCATGTCGAACGTGAAATCCTTCCTCGAAGAAGGAATCTTCGTACCCCCGGACCACCCAACACTCTCCAGCGCCACCGACGCCAACCTCGTGAAGCTCGAGCGACCTCTCCGTCTGAACGGCGACGCCTCGAACCCCAGCGCGAGCGCAAGCTCCCGCGCCGGAAAGCCCACCCGCCCAACCAAGTTCATCGTCGTCGACGGAACAACCAACTTCAAGCCCGAGTACTGGAACCGACTCGTCGCTGTCTTTACTACCGGCCAGACCTGGCAGTTTAAGTCTTACAAGTGGTCTTCGCCGCCGGAACTGTTCAAGCATGCTACCGGTGTGTATGTCGGGTGGCGGGGTGAGGATGTCCCTGGCCAGGTTAAGGGGTGGGGTCGTGGTGTTTCGACTTACGCTGTCGAACGCTGGGACGAGAAGAGTGGTGTTCACGGTGGTGGACGGTGGCGGGATCGGGAGGTTGTTGAGGGTATTTGGACTGCTATTGAGGAGGGAATGAGACTTCGTGGCTGGGGAACTAAGTAGAGTTTTTTTCTTCTTTTTTGGGGTCTCGGTTCTCTTTTCTCGATTTCCTGTCATCTTGTTCTCTCAATACCCTCAGTTTTCCAAGAATATGATGACCATCAGCATTCAAGGCGCAGTTCTAGGCGTTGTGGTTGTCTTTCTTTTCCTTTTTGTTCTTATAATGTTTCTGTGTATGTATAGTTGATCTAGGCTCAAAATGCATTTGAATTTCAGCTTGTAACTTGGCTTTCTGTTTGATATAGAGGTAGTTCATAGCACATTCTGAAGGCGTTGAAGGATTACTCGGTGTCAAGATTTCTCTGTCTACAACCAAAACACTTTCTGGGGAAGACGATTGACCATTTACTTAGAAGGTATGAGAATGTAAGATCATGTTCATTGCGATTCCCAATTAAAGAATTATATGACATACACAAGCAGACCAGAACTCACTCGCTGTGCCCGGGTAGAACGATGCAGGAACTTAGGAAGAAAAAAAAAGAAAAACGACCCAGGAAATAGAGATTGAGATAGAAAGAAACGCAGAACATAAGAGGGATGGAATCATATGACATGCTCAAATGAAGAGATAAAAAAAAAAAACAAATGCATAAAGAGTTGTATGGAAGAGAATAGAGAATAGAATAGGAAGAAAAAAGGACATGCAAGGAACGCCGGGTCTGATGCTCAAAAAGGGAAAGAAACGGCCTCTCCAATCTCTCAAGGTATTCAATGTTTCGTGTGTTTTTTTTTTGTTTTTTCTGATTCTTCTGAAGTCTTCCCTTCAATACTTCCCCCGGAGGGAGAGAGTTGGAGGGAAAATGCGAAAAGTAAGGGAATATAAAAAAAAAACAAAAAAACAAAACAAAAGCAATGCCATCAAAATATTACAAATATTTTCCAGTTCTGGACTTCTCTATAACATGAGCCATCGATCATAACGTCTTTCGTTCGGAGTGGGAGATTCTCGTGACGAGTGGGATAAAAAAAAAAAAGGAAAAATGAATATGGCAGCCAGAAACAGACTCATCAAGAGTGTGACTGGACTGCATGCGGAGGAGAGAGACAGAGAGATAGAGAGTAAAGAACTTCGTGGTCGGAAACGATCATGAAGAGATTGATGAAATCGGGTGTCAAGATCGACCGGATATTTCATTCCCCCTTTTGTATAAGGTGACGGGGGTTTCCGTGTTGGGGCCACAAGCATGAGTGCGGGGTTGCAAGGTGGTTAGATTCGATCTGTGCCTTGGGGATGGCATTCGAATGCTGATTTCCAGACTGCGTGTGTTGAATGGTTCAGGCAGTAATGCACCGAAGGAGGGGGCTCATGATGAGTCGGAGTCGGAATCGCAGTGATACGAATCGTCTTCGAATGGGTTGCGGACTATGTCAATGCTTGTGGGCGGTGGTTGTCAGGCACGCGCAGAACGACTCATGCTGCGTTCTGGGATTGTAGGCGGACCGGCTGGCGTGGGCGAGTATGAACGTGGGGCTCCCAGGATGTCTACGTCGTGTTCTTGTAGAACAACGGAGTATTTCGGGTCGCGCAGGAACTTGGGAACAGAGTCGCTTGACATCAGTTTGAACAC